GCTCTCCTCTTTTACCCTGAGCAAGAGACTCTTTAGGTCCTCTTCACTTTCTGCCATTAGAGTGGCGTCTGGATATCTGAGGTTGTTGATGTTTTTCCCAGCAATCTTAATTCTGGCTTCCAAATCATCCAGGCCGGCATTTCGCATGATGTACTCTGCATATAAATTAAATAAGCAAGTACATCCTTGTCGTACTCCTTTTCCTATGCTAAACCAATCAGTTGTTCCATATCCTGTTCTAACTGTCGCTTCTTGACCCTTATACAGGTTTCTCAAGAGACATGTGAGGTGGTCTGGTACTCCCATCTCTTTAAGGACCTGCCATAGTTGGTTGTGATCCACACAGTCAAAGGCTTTAGCATAGTCAGTGAAGCAGAAGTAGATGTTTTTCTGGTACTCTCTTGCTTTCTCCATAATCCAGCGAATGTTGGCAATTTGATCGCTAGTTCCTCTACCTCTTCGAAACCCAGCTTGTACTTCTGGCAGTTCTCTATCCACGTACTGCTGAAGCCTAGCTTGTAGGATCTTGAGCATGACCTTGCTAGTGTGTGATATGAGTGCGATTGTGCGATAGTTTGAACATTCTTTGGCATTGCCCTTCTTTGGGATTGGAATGTATACTGACCTTTTCCAATCCTGTGGCCACTGTTGTGTTTTCCAAATTTGCTGGCAAATTGAGTGCAGCACTTTAACAGCATCATCTTTTAAGACTTTGAATAGTTCAGCTGGAATACCATCACCTCCACTAGCTTTGTTGTTGGTAATGCTTTCTAAGGCCTTATCTCTCCTTGCTGTTCTCTGGAAATCTGCATTCAGTTGGGTAAATCTTTCCTTTTCACCTTTGCCTTTCGCTTTCCTCTGCTATTTGTAAAGCCTCATCGGACAGCCACTTTGCTTTCTTGCATTTCTTTTTCTTTGGGATGGTAGTGGTTGCTGCCTCCTGTTCTATGTCACGAACCTCTGTCCATAGCTTTTCAGGCACTCTCTCAAATCTAGACCCTTGAATCTATTCTTCACCTCCACTGTATATTCATCAGGGATGCGATCTAGGTCAAGTCTGAGTGGCCTAGTGGTTTTCCCAACTTTCTTCAGTTTAAGTCTGAATTTTGCAATGAGTAGCTCATGATCTGAGCCACAGTCAGCTCCAGGTCTTGTTTTTACTGACTGGATAGAGCTTCTCCATCTTTGACTGCAAATTATATAGTCAATCTGATTTCGGTGTTGCCCATCTGGTGATGTCCATGTGTAGAGTTGCCTCTTAGGTTGTTGGAAAAGGGTGTTCGCTATGACCAGTGTGTTCTCTTGACAAAACTCTGTTAGCCTTTGCCCTGCTTCATTTTGTTCTCCAAGGCCAAACTTGTCTGTTATTCCGTTTACCTTTTGACTTCCTACTTTAGCATTCCAGTCCCCTATGATGAGGAGGACATCTTTTTACTGGGGTTACTTGTTTACTTGCCCTCTGCTCTTCCCCAGTAGCATATTGGACACCTTCCGACCTGAGGGGCTCATCTTCTGGCGTCATATCTTTTAGCCTTTTGATACTGTCCATGGGGTTTTCTTGGCAAAAGTACTGGAGTGGGTTGCCATTTCCTTCTCCAGGGGATCACGCTTGGTCTGAGTTCTCTGCTGTGGCCTGTCCGTCCTGGGTGGCCCTCCACGGCATAGCCCACAGCCTCATCGAACCACGTAAGCCCCCTCGCCACGTCAAGGCAGTGATCCATGAGGGAGAGGTGTTTCAGTAGAGTCTGCTTAATTTCAAAATTGTTGGTTGGCCAGGCATCCCCCTCTCTCCCCAAAAATGCTCATAAGAACATCAGAAGAGCCCTGCTGCATCAGACCAGTGGTCTATCTAGTCCAGCATCCTGTCTCACACAGTGGCCAACCAGTCCTCTGGAGGGCCAACAACAGAGCACAGAGGCTGAGGCCTTCCCCTGAGAAGAACATCAGAAGAGCCCTGCTGGGTCAGACCAGTGAGGGTCCATCCAGTCCAGCATCCTGTCTCACATGGTGGCCAGCTAGTTCCTCTGGAGGGCCAACTACAGCCCCCCTGAGCTTGTTTGTGCAGTAGGGTGGGATATAGATTGAAGAAAATAAATAAATAGACGGCACAGAGGCCATGGCCTTCCCCTGATGTTGCCTCCTGGCTCCAGGATTCAGAGGTTGGCTGCCTCTGTACGTGGAGGTTCCCTTTAGTCGCCATGGCTAGTAGCCATTGATAGACTTTACCCTCCATGAATCTATCACATGCCCTTTCAAAGCTGTCTATTCCTGTAGCCGTCACTACATCCCCCTGGCAGCAAATCCCACATTTTAATCATTCCCAACATGCTCTTAAAGAAAAACTAAAAAAACTCTGCAAACATTTCAGAATTTAATGTAAATAATTATATTTTATACTAAAATAATTATAAACATAATACTAATGATTAGTCTGTGGGATAAAGAGGAGCTTGGGGTTTCTGAATGACTGCATCCTCCTGGTCTGGATCGCAGCAGCTTTAATCTGCCCTGCATTTCTAAGCGGAGGGGGAACTGTCTTTAAGGTGAGTAGGGTTGCCGGATCCAGGCTGGGAGACTCCTGGAGATTTGGGGGGTGGAGCCTGGGGAGGGCAGGGACCTCCCACGTGGGCCACGGTGCCACGGAGTCCACCCTCCAAAGCATCCATTTTCTCCAGGGGGGAGCTGGTACCTGGAGGCTGGAGAGGAGCTGTGATTCCGGGGGATTCCCCAGGTCCCACCTGGAGGCTGCTGGCATCCCTTGGCAGCTCCCCTCCCCCTTGTGGTGGTGGTGGTGGTGGTGTTTTTTTAAACCCTCTGGGGAACAGCACTCTCGAGGAGGAGGGGGGTGGGGACGAGTGCTCCCTCTGAGCTGTAGAGCCCAAACTCTGCTGTGTGAGCTGCTGGCGCGCGAGGGGTGAGGGCGCGATCGGGCTCCTGCACCTCTCTCTCCCTTCGCTCTGGAGCAGGGCTCCCTCGACGCCGCGTCGGTGTGAGCCCAGCTCCCCGGTCCCGAGCCTCCGGCTGGCACCTTTCTGCCTTCGCTCAGGGAGGAGGAGGGCTGCCGTCGAGCAAACGCACTGAAGCCGCAGCCACATCGCTCGCCCCTTTGAATGCCGCCAGCAGCCGCCGCCGCCGCCGCCCCCCCCAAAGCAGGGCTTGGGCTCCCCAGCCAGGCCCTCCACAGCCCCCCCCCCCTTCCTGGGCGAAGGCAGGGACGCGTGAGAGCCGGAGGCGAAAGCGACGGGGATCCCCCCTGCCGCCCCTCGCCCGGGCTTCTGGTCTCCGCCCTCCTCCTCCTCCTCGGAGCTCCGCCCCCCCCTTCCCCGGCGGCCGTGCGGGCTATAAATCCCGGCGGGCCGGGGCGCCTCCTCCAGGGCCCCGCTGGCCAGGCCGGCATGGGCTGCTTCTTCTTCCTGCAGCGCTGCGCGGGGGCAAGGCGCCTCTGGACCCCCGGACGGCCCACCCTCCTGCGCCCCCCGGCGGCGGAGGAGGGCAGCTGGGAGCAGCTCAGGGCGCAGCCCCGGGGGGGGGGCCGGGCCCCGGAGCCAGGCTCCCGCTAAGCCGTGGAGTCTGGGTGGGGAGCAGAAAAGTCTATCCGGGGAGCGACACTGGCATGCAAGCGGGGAGCAGGCGATTGGGCTCCTGCAGAAACCAGCGGGCTCCGGAGCTCCATTCCTTCCTGAGCGGAGACGAAAAGGTGTGAGCCGGAGGCTAATGAACGGTGAGCTGGCTCACGCTCACTCAGCTTAGCGGGAACATTGCCCCGGAGTCCGGACGGCTTCCGCTGGCATCCGCCCTGGGCA